CCCCAAAACCCCAAAACCCCAAAACCCCAAAACCCCAAAACCCCAAAACCCCATTCTGAATATATAATATTGAAAATAATGGAGAAATACGAGGAAGTAAATGAGCTGGAGATGGTCAATTTCGCTGCCTATCCAGAATTTATCCAAGCTTGATCTTCTCATGGAGCAACCAAGCATTCTATATGTAAGGCTTATGATCTAAAGTATAGCTTCTGAGCTTACAGATGTTTTTCCAGGACTATCTAAGATTATTTTCAGCATACTGAATGGAGAATCTGAGGTATATTTCTTGCTCAATATTAGGTCGAGATCATGGATAAAGACTATGAAGAAAAGGATACAGTCTTTGCTACTTTGCTTTATTTATTTTCATCCAGAGATGTCTGAAATGAGATTCTCAAACACCTAGGGTCATTTAATTACAAGTCATTGCAGCTTTGTTACAGTGTCTTATACAAAGGTTTTATGACTACGAATTATCTTCTTCCTCCAGGCAAATTATTTTATACAAGTATCCAAAATGCATACTTCAATAAAGATCTCTATGTTGAAGGCAGAACTCTTTGGTGGCCTAAATTGATCAGAGGATCTACAAATCCAGGAATTGCTTTGGCCTTCGCAGGAGTAAATGGTGTCCTTGTAGCTGTAGAGCTAGACTCTGGCCTTCCTCACTATCATATCAGAAACGCTAAGGTTGTCAATAAAAACATAGTTCATCCCTCTGGTGTCTACCTCTTCCCATGGTTCTGCTTCAAAATCTGAAAAGTTATCGAAGGAGATGGTATCACTCTTATCAAGGTAGTCCAAACCCCTTGGCCTAAAGTAGCAGAGGAATCTATTACTGCTGTGGGGGAGAAAATGGAAAATTATCACAAAAATGTAACCCAGAGATTGTATAAGAACTGAAATTTAGACGTCAAGGATGTGTACACCTCAAATATGCTAAAATCCTCAGAGACCCTTGCTAAAATCTATGGATCAGATACTTCTGAGGACTTGTTAGAGCTTGACCATGTGACTAAAATACCTCTGTCAGGGTGGGAATGATAAATTCAACCAAAATTTGCTCAACAGGGGTTTTGGGGTTTTGGGGTTTTGGGGTTTTGGGG